TGAACTATAAAAGCCATTATTTTCTCATAACACAAGTCTAGACAAGCAGGAAATAGTCCTCCAGGGACGATGACTGGGCACATTCTCCCTCTCCCTCCAGAGCTGAGGCGAGTGGTAGAGAGTGTTTGTTTATTGTTGTGTTTGTCTTAATTGTTATTTTTATTTTAAAACAGCAGCTGTATACATATTTCATAACAAATGAATCTATGGAAACTCTGAAAAGAAAGTTTTTTTCTAAGTTAAATTAAAGCTACACTATGTAAGTTTTTTTTTGGTTAAATTTGAGAGAAGTAGCATTGCTGAGCTGGCTCGGATTTACCGGAGGTTTTCCGAACAATGTCATACGTCTTAACCTATGAACGTCATGTACAGCCTCAAAAAGAAGATCCAGCTCGATGTTTACGTCTCAAATGATCTCAAAATCAAAATTATACAAATGAATACTTGATGACAGTTGTAGATAATTCACTCATGTCCTCGGAAGATTGAGTTCTCTTTTAATCATGAGATTGTTATATCGCGAATGTTATCAACAAAGATTACATAGTGTAGTTTTACCAGCTTTACCATGACTTTTGCCAAGTCATTAAAACATTTATTCATGGTTAATTGTATTATTTTGTGTAGTAAATCACAGTTTTGTCTTTTCATTTGCTGTTGTTTTTTTTTTATTTTTTATTTGACCCTAATTAAAATGTTTTCCATTTTAAAAAGCAGCAAATTTTTATAGCTGTGACCAAAGTGAGTGATCAAAATAACCTCATCAAAATGTATTTATTTCCTTCAATAATTTAGTAACTTAACTTTCATAGTGTGACCTGTTTTCCACAGAGTCAGCGCAGTTTCCTATTTTCATCACCAGCATCCAGTGAGAGCAACAGCGTCTGCACGTTCCAGCAAGTGACTGTATTATATACACCGATCAGGCATAACATTATGACCACTTCCTTGTTTCTGCGCTCATTGTCCATTTTATCAGCTCCACTTACTATATAGGTGCACTTTGTAGTTCTACAGTTACAGACTGTAGTCCATCTGTTTCTCTGCATACTTCGTTTTACCCTGTTCTTCAGTGGTCAGGACCCCCATGGACCCTCACAGAGCAGTTTGGGTGGTGGATCATTCTCAGCACTGCAGTAACACTGACGTGGTGGTGTTAGTGTGTGTTGTGCTGGTCTGAGTGGATCAGACACAGCAGTGCTGCTGGAGTTATTAAACACCTCAGTGTCACTGCTGGACTGAGAATAGTCCACCAACCAAAAATATCCAGCCAACAGTGTCCTGTGGGCAGCGTCCTGTGACCACTGATGAAGGACTAGAGGATGACCAACACAAACTGTGCAGCAGCAGATGAGCTATCGTCTCTGACTTTACATCTACAAGGTGGACCGACGAGGTAATAGAGTGGACAGTGAGTGGACCCAGTGTTTAAAAACTCCAGCGGCACTGCTATGTCTGATCCACTGGTGGTGTTTTTTATTGATTTTCTGTCCTCTTGGATTCAGACTGAGTGCTAAAACTCTGATACACAGCAAGGCTTTATTTTTAATTACAAATTGAGTTGCATATTTAAATCAGATATTTTTAATACTCAAAATCAATGTAAACTGAAAGAGCTTAATTTTATTGATTTTATAATAACATTTGTCATATTTATTGTTATTTATCTGTCAAAATGTGTTTTAGGGCCTGTTTGAGGGAAAGAGGGAAAGTGCCCTCATTGTGTTGAATGGGACGCTGCAGTTTTATCGCCTTTTATCGCCTTTTCTCGTTTCTCCGGGTTCTAAGGGTTAAAGTCCAAGTCAGTTAAAAGTCCCAAATGTGTTTCAGCTCTGACTTTGAACCGGTTCAGTAAAATCATCCATATTTCATATATACAGTCAGTGGTTCAACTCTGCTGTGGTTGTAGCCTCTCACTCTCGCTCATTCAGCTTGTGGGTTCTTGTTACAGTGGAGAATCTCGAGGGGAACCGGAGCTCCACCAAGCTGCTGCTTGTGTAAGTTTGCTGCTGGTTGATTTATCCGTAGTCCTCTCACGAGCGCTGTCTAGTCTACTGGAGCTGCTGAAGGAATCACTCACACTCAGTTTTAATAATTAAAATTGCCTCAAAAACGCCTGATGTGGAATCACATGGATGATGGAGCTCCAGCGACCAGAGAGAGATCTCCTCCTCATCTGGGTGACCCCCCCAACCATCACTTCAAACAGAGCAGAGGCCCTGGAAGGAGTTAAACACTTCTCAGCTCCGAAAACTTGGCGGAATTGAGCCGAGAAAGAGGGAGAGAGAGGAGAGAATCTGCACACACTGCAGTCTGATGCAGACAGAAGATGAAACACATTCTCTATTACATCTCTATTACACTGCCCAAAATATCAATCAGAGCATTCTTTGAACATAAAATTAAAAAAAATAAATAATGCGTTCCCTTCTCTATCGGACTCTTTATGAAACTTTATGTTGTTCTTGGAGAAGCTGAGACAGCGACACTAACAGCCAAATAGGTCTCAGCTCTACATCATCACTGGAAGCATCCTCAGGAACCTCTTTAGGACTTCATCAATAACATTATCACTGCTCATTTCTTAAATATCCTATTAATGTACTCTTTATTCATTTATTTATTTTGTTTATAAACTATATATAAACTATTTAACTATATAGTTTACATATACACACATACACATACATACATACGTAATATGTATATGTATATATATAGGTAATCTTGTATATATGTATGTGTATATGTATATATGTATTTATGTATATATGTATACTTATATACATATATACATACATAGATATGTCATATATATAAATGACTTCTATGTAAAATATATATGTATATACCCATATATGTATTTTATTTTGATTAATTTTTTCTTTGTTAATTATTATAATCATTATTATTATTATTACCTTTTTTTTAATTATTTTTTCTTTCATCGCTTTGGCAACGGTTGTTAATTGCAATTCATGCCAGTAAAGCTATTTACAATTGAAATTGAATTGAGAGAGAGAGAGAGAGAGAGAGAGAGAGAGAGAGAGACAGAGAAAGACAAAACAGAGAGAGATAGAGAGAGACAGTGAAACAGTGAAATAGAGGTTGCTTGAAAAGAAGGGAGAGAAAAGAAGGAGAGGAAGAAGAGAAAGATTGAGATGAGAAAGAAAACAATGTGTGTGAGAGAGAGAGAGAAAAAGCGAGGGTGACAGAGAAGGAAAGAAAGGAAAAAGTGAAGAAGAGAAAGGAAGAGAGAGAGGAGAGGTAGAGAACAGAGAGAGAAAATACAGAGAGAGAGAGACAGAGAGAGAGAGACAGAGGGAGAGAGAGATAGAGAAACAGATGGTTAATTATTACTCACAAATATATAATTATTTTGTTAGTTAGTATAATTATAATCACAATGATAATTAAAAATGTTATTATTACGTTATAATTTTATTATTATTACTATTACAGTCATTAATATGGTTATTAATTGTTACAGTTCTTGTTATTTTCATTGTTATTACTGTTATAACACTTACTGTACTTCATACAGTTACACTAATAAAGCTATTCGGAACTGAACTGAAAGAAGGGAGAGAAGAGAGAGAGCGAAAAAGAGAAAGAGAGAGAGGAGGGAGATGGAGAGATGGAGAGAGAGGGACAGAGAGGAGAGAGAGAGAGAGAAAGAGAGAGGGGAGAGAGAGAGAGAGAGAGAGAGAGAGAGAGAGAGAGAGAGAGAGGGAGAGAGAGAGAGAGAGAGGAGAGAGAGAGAGAGAGAGGGACAGAGAGGAGAGAGAGAGAGAGAGAGAGAGGAGAGAGAGAGAGAGAAAGAGAGGAGAGAGAGAGAAATGAGAGAGAGAGGGAGAGAGAGAGGAGAGAGAGAGGGAGAGAGAGAGAGAGAGAGTGAGAGAGAGAGGGAGAGAGAGAGAGAGTAAAAGTACATTAGCTGGTTTTCTCTCTGGTTGATCTTCACTCTTCTGTATTAAACAGTCTCTTTTAAACGCTGCCAACTGCTCACAAACATCAGTACAGTGTGTGTGTGTGTGTGTGTGTGTGTGTGTGTGTGTGTGTGTGTGTGTGGACCAGGTTTATGCCACATTGTGGGGACCAAAACCTGTACATACACTCACACTGTGGGGACCTTTCTCCCCATAAGCTGGGCTCCACAAGATAAACCGTTAAATTTTAAGGTTAGGATTGGGTTTAGGGTTAGATTTAGCCTAGTAGCAGACCTGGTTAGTCTCCAGGAAATTAACGGAAGTCTATGTAATGGCCCCACAATTCACAGAAACGAGACTGTGTGTGTGTGTGTGTGTCATTGTGTGTGTGGGGGGGGCAGCGGGGGATGAGGGGGGCAGTGGTGTATGCTCTTCCGGATGCTGAAGTAAGCTTAATTATACAGTGAGGCTTTATTAATAAGTCTTTAGTAATTTACAGCCTCACGCTAACGAAGGGAAGTCTGTGTTGCTGTGGTAACAGGTGAGTGTCGTCCGGTTAGGGATACACCTTCCTGCATCTCTGGTATGATTACACACACACACACACACCTAATGAGAAACTGTAGAACAGACTCAGTTTATATCACAATACCTACATTTAGAGTCGGTTATTCATTCAGCCTAATGAGAAACTGTAGAACAGACTCAGTTTATATCACAATACCTACATTTAGAGTCAGTTATTCATTCAGCCTAATGAAAAACTGTAGAACAGACTCAGTTTATATCACAATACCTACATTTAAAGATAACATAAAATCTTTTTTCTTGATTTGATTGATTTCATTTTATTTCATTTCCACATTGTATTTTTACTTTTCTTACTTTCTTCTTTTTTTTCACATTATGAAAATGCTAGCTAAATACTAACAACATTTATTATTATTATTATTATTATTATTATTATTATTATTATTATTAGTTATTATTAGCAGTAGTAGTAGTATTATAGTTTTTTGTTTAATTATTATTATTACAGTTTTAACTTCTATCCATTGTGAAATATTACAGTATTTTTTGTCCACATCATGAATTTTTATGTCCTTCTGTTTTGGGTCACATGACTCATCCTTCTGAGTTCTTCCTCCAATCCAGCCAGAGCCCGGTCATCTTCATCATCCTCATCCTCAGAGTCCGTCAGCTCCGACCGCTCCACACTCTGAACCTCCAGGATCTCCACAGCGGCGCGGGACAGCGGCCGAAACTCGGGGGTCCTGGCGGAGTCCTCAGCGTTGGGAGGAGAGAAAGTTGGAGTGATTCTGCTGGAGGAACCTGGAGAAACAAAATTAAAGGAGGAACAAAACAAATCAAATTTACAAAGTTCCCCCCTTAATGTAGACGATCAGTCAGGACCTGTTTGGTGAGTGAAGGTTTCTTCCTTTAGTTTCAGCACTGAGAGGCTAATGTAGCTAACAAGCAATGGAAGCTTATAACCTACCAATTAGCACTGCGCTAACTGCATAGCTAACACACTTGTCTGAAACCGTGTGGAGTTGATCAGAAACCTCTAATAGACTTGAAAAGAGTGAAAGAAAAAGATAAACGAAGAAACAAGTGAGAGAGAAAAAAATTGAGAGAGAAAAACAGAAAGAGAGAAAGAATGAGAGAGAAAGACTTGGGAAAAGAAAGGGGGAGAGAGAAGATAAAGAAAAAAGAAAGGAATGAAACAAGTGAGAGAGAAGAGAAAAACAGGGAGAAAGAGAGAAAAGGCAAGAGAGAGAAAAAATGAAAAGAAACGGATCGACAGAAAGAAAAAGTGGAAGGAAGAAATTAGTGAGAGAGAGAAGAGAAAAAATGACAAAAACAGAAAGAGAGAAAGAGAAGAGAGAGAAAAACAATAGGGAGAAAAGAAGAAAGGAGAGAGAGAGAGAGCGAGAGAGTATGCAGAGAAACAGATGGACTACAGTCTGTAACTGTAGAACTACAAAGTGCACCTATATAGTAAGTGGAGCTGATAAAATGGACAATGAGCGTAGAAACAAGGAGGTGGTCAGAATGTTATGCCTGATCGGTGTATATAATACTAAAAGTAATAAATAAGTTAAAATATAAACTCTATCCTTCACAAAAATTAACAACATAAAGAATCATAAATAAATAAAAGCTAAAATATTTACACTGTAAGGATATTTAACTGAATTTCATAGAGTTTTGCACATGAGGTACTGGTTTATGTTACACATAGGATGGTGAGGAGTCAACAATATAAACAATTATAAATAGAAAAGCAAAAATCTTTACACTAGAGATTTTTAAAAAATATTGCACATGGAGTATTGATTATATTGCGCGATTGAGGTCTAATCGGGGTGGAGGAGGTTCTACTGGGAGCAGTGCTGGTTCTACAGTCTAACAGCAGCAGGAAGGAAGGACCGGCGATGGCCTCCTTCACACACTTGGGGTGAAGCAGCCGGTCACTGAAGGAGCTGCCCAGTGCTGTCAGAGTCTCAGGCATGGGGTGGGAGCTGTTCTCCATCATGGATTCTAGTCTGGCTAACATCCTCCTGTCTCCCACCATCTGCACTGGGTCTATGGGGCTTCCCAGGACAGAGCTGGCCCTCTTAATGAGTCTGTCAAGTCTCTTCCTGTCCACAGTTGAGATGCTGCTACCCCAGAAGACCACTCCATAAAAGGTGGCTGATGCAACTCGAATTGTATTAAAGTTATTATGAAAGCGTACAGTATATACCCGTGTACTGTATGCGGCAGGGTGCTCTGCTTTAATTACAGACTCAGATCGAGGAGTGCGGACACGTTACTCTAAATCACACCTCTGCCGAACGCGTTTATGGTTTTCCTGCTTGTTGTGTTCGTCGGGCTATTATTGATGTCACCGCCGCCGTGAGTAACGCCGCATCCAACAGGGCGGAGGAAGCAGTGGGTAAACAGAGTATTTAGCCTGGCCAAGGATACGCCAGCAGACAGGCGCCGGTATAAAATATTAACGGCGATTTGGCCCTATAAATCTGGATTAAGTCCTGTGGAGTGTTTAGTGTGTCCAGTAGGCCGGGGTTCGGGAGGATGGATGAGGCCTTTATTTGCTGAGATGTCCAGAGAGGATTCAGTGCAGTGTAATTATTTTGGAGGGACAGAAGGAAAGAGGGTGCTGGGGAGGGGGAACATTGAGGACTACAGGCTGGATTTACATGAACATTTCATTCAGTTTCAGGTTCCAATCTTCATGAAAGAGAATTTCAGTGCTACACTTTAGAACTTCAGCTCAATATGAAGAAAATGAAGGTTATGACCTTGAGAAAGACAGCTGGCTTTACCACCGATGGTGAAGATGCAGACGTGGTGGACAGCTTGTGCCTGCTTGGATCAATTATTAACAACAAAGGATGCAGCAGTCAAGAAATACGACACAGATTGGCACTCAGCAGGACAAGGAGCTCGAAAAGATCATCAGATCTGATGATGTGTCTTCAAACAAAGAGCCAAACTGTCCAGGCTGTGGTCTTTTCTGCAGTTGTTGATGGGTGTGAAAGCTGGACAATAAATAATAACAGTAATGCCTTTGAACTTTGGTGTTGGTGAAGACTTTTGGGGAGAAGACCTTTGGAGAGCCAATGGACCAAATCAAGCCTCACCTCTTACTCAGCCCAGACAGCCAGACTGAAGCTCTCTGGACATATTATGAGAAGAACCAGTTCGTTGGAAAAAACAATTATGCCTATGACTACCCTGTCTTGCATTTGGATCTTTAGGCTTCTTGTTCTTGGTTCTTCTGATAGCCTCCATCCAGGCATTCTGGAGATACACTATCCATCCATGTGTGACAGCTAGCAATTAAAAAGGAAACAAAGACGCATCCAACAAATATGATTATAGTTTGCAAGTAGCCAGTTGTGACCTAAACACAAATAACCGTTTTTTACAAACTAGTGACAATTTTCCAACTTTATGAGTTGACGAGAACAATCCAACCGCACAGCCCTCACTATCTGCCCTGATATTTTATAGATCACTCACCTGGTAGATGCAGCCTTCGCAATGTAGCACTGCCAGTGGGTGTGGCTGAACGTGAGCTGTTACTGATTGGCTGGTTATTAATCACTGCAGAAACTAGCTCCTCCTCTGCATAGTGGCAGAGACTGCTGGCCGGTCTCCATCTACCCTGACCTACTGAGAGAGAAAGAGAACCAGAGAGTGAGTGAAAGAGGTAAACACCATAGTATAACGTCACTGTCCAAAGAAAAACAATGCATTGCCATTTTTGTCCATTTTTTTTTTTCTGCAGCATTTCAACACACCAGCTGTCCTTTATGCTGTCTGATTTCATGACGAATGGACCAATAGAAATGCTCTAAAATCACTTGGAATAAAATCTCTTTACATTGACTTACATTCAAAGGTAAGAGTGAGTTTGCCTTCCTCTGTAAAGTTACTATTTTGAAGATATTTGTTTTTCTTTGGACAGCGATGATAATCAGAATAGGGACCAAAAAGTTGACCAAAGTGGGACCCAAAAAGAAATAATAACAAAACCTATAAACAACAATGGCTGCGTATACATGCACTCAATAATCTGATCATAATCGGATTTCTGCAGTTATCTGATTATTCAAATGGCCATGTAAACACCATTCTCTGATTTAGAAATCTGATTAAGAAATCTGATAAAAAGGCTGGATTTTAGCTCAGTAATCAGATTTCTCAGTGCATGTAAACTCTTACTCTGATTTCTATCAGATTTCTCAGTCTCTGCATGCGTGAGATCAGACGGTGGATGTTGCGAGACGCAGCAAAACACAGTTGGAGCGGCACTGAAACCAAACAGGAAATAAAGGATTTAAATATTCTTCATCTTCTAGATGATGTTTGTTCATATTTTCAGGTAAAGTTGTGCGATATTTAAAAAAAAGCTGCGGTGTGAAGTTTGAGTTTTACGTTACGTTTACGTCGCGTCTTCTTCTGTGAGTTTATTAGCTGGTTGTAAAGCAGAAATCTGATTACTGTCTGACTCATGTAGACCTGGAGTTTCCCCATTATCTGATTACTCAAGTGCATGTAATGTTTATGTCCTTGATAAGATACTGCATGCTAAGTAGTGGTTGGTGTAGTTTAATGGATAACACCTCTGCTTTCTACAGTGTAGGCTGGGGTTCAATCCCTGCCTGGGTAAGAATCCTACACTACACTGATAAGAGTCCTTGGGCAAGACTCCTAACACTTCCTTCACCTCTCTGTGTAAAATGATCAAATTGTAAGTCGCTGTAGATAAGAGCGTCTGCCAGATACCTTCAATGTAAATGCTTGAGCAAAAAAATACAGCTGTACTTTCTTAAAAAACAGGTTACCATCAGCTCTTTCTCCCTCCTCTTCTAAATCATATGTTATGCTTCATTTTATTAATCATATTAATAAAGTGGATGCTTTATTAAACCAAGAATCACCTCGCCTACCACTAAGAAAGGTGATTCTTGGCCACCCTAGTTAATCATATCAGCCCCACTGTTTCACATTATGTAGAACCAACAGTGGTGTGGCGAGTTAAAGCATATTTTCACAGAGCTTAATTATGGCATTTTCACAGGCCTTGTCCAAAAAAAAGGATACACTGTACACTGAGAAAATGGAAAGATGGAGAGGAAGAAGAAATTAAGTATTAGCGATTATTCTTTTAGCCAGTGCGACTCAGATTTAAACGACGACACACAGAGAGCAAAGCTGTACAATAAAGCAGCCTGAACTGAACTCAAACTGAGAAAAGGACATACTGATAAAGAGAAAAACATACTAGAGAGCAATAAAAGCGATATTCTTCATAAAATACCATAGGATGGCTCTCACCTTCACATTAGCTCAAAAGCGGTTAATCATTGCTGGGCTCACAGCTGCTAAAAAGACTATGATGCATAACCGGTTCAATCCAGTATACGACTCTCGCAACAATGGCTATTATTCCACTATGATATTGTTTCCCTTGAGTGGACTACTGTAATGATATATAAGGCTAAATCAGTGCAGTATCAGAAATAAAGGTACTATACTGTCACTGGGGTGGAACCCTCAAGGGTGCATCTCAGTACCTTTATTCAGGGAACATAACTGAACCATAATCCACTGAAATGATATGTTCTAAGCTGTACTGACTCCACACACCCCGTCTCGTCTCCAGGCTTTTATTTTACTGTTCTGTTTTAAAACATTCGGTTATGAAAAGGTACGAGATACTACTTGCACTATCTATCTGGAACATTGTTGCCAATACTGTGTTTACACTGTTTTCACTACCTCAGTAACTGCTGTGTTTATGTATGTTATCTGATGTAACTTACAGATCACATCACGTTAAATATGCCTGCACCTTATTCCACTACCTCATGTCCAGAAATCTGTGCTGTGTCGGTGCTACACTGTCCGGTCTGTTTGCTGTGTCTAATGTCTGTTTGATTTATCGTATTTATTGTATTGTTTCTAGCTTAATTTTTGTTTGCACGCTGTCTGCAGGTTCGCACTTTGTACTTTTGTACTTTTGTACTTTTTGTTCCTTGTTGCACCGTGTTGTTCCTGGAGGACCGTAATTTCGCTCCACTGTGTACTTGTACATAGATTGAATGACAATAAAAGCCTCTTGACTTGACTTGACAAATACAAACTTTTCACCTGGTAAAGCTTATTTAAGGTTCACAATCAGACCTTCAAACCACTGTTGTACATTTGAGGGAACATTTACTTTGTTTGTACCTTGATGAACAAAAAATATACCTGCACAGAACCTTTATTTCTAATAAATACGTGGCACCTGTCATGTAAACGTCTGTTTGATGATCTTTCAGTCTGGGCTATTTGAGGTACTTTGGGGAAATGGCACAGACTTTACCTTGTACAAAAAAGCCGGTCAAATCACACACAAATTACATCCCCAGACCTCCTTCGTTCAAACGAATCCAGCTTGAATAGGGCTAAAGATACATTTTTACCCTTTTAGCCAGAAAAAAAGCCAAACCGAGCTACGATTTTTAAATAGCCAGTTACTTTGCTACCTATTGCTTTTAGCTGATTGTCCTCCTCTTCTGATGAGTCATTTCTGTTGTCTGAGTGATCCATTCTCTCCACTGTATTAATGATTTGAGGAAGTAACTACAGTTTTGATTTTAGCCAGAGTGTTCCTCTTATGTTATTAAGAGTCTATATTTTGTTTTCTCTACATTTTGAAAGAAAAAATGGAGAGAAATCAAATTTATACAGATTTCATTTTCAGTGTTACACTGGAGCTAATCCATTAGCTTTGTGCCACCTGCCAGCCTAAAACATCACAAATTGTAGCTATGTGCCGTAGCTTTGTCTACGTTTATAGATACGTGTATCAATCAGCGTCAGAAACCATATAAGCAAGTCTGTTTGAGAGCTCAGTCCCTTGACTTAACTGGTCATTGTTGGGACTAGAGGGATGCATCAGTTGGCAAGGTTTTCCACTCTGACAACTCTGACCTATGCTGGTCAGACATGCCAAGGTCTGTTTACTCCTTTACGTTCACGAGTCAGTTCTTCCTTTCTCTACGATGTTGTCGGCCTCACTCAAGGGTACCAGGAAGGATGGTCTAATTTAGTATGTTGTGGTGTTTCAGACAGCCAAACCAGGCGAGTTTGTGCTGCTTTACTGTTGCCAGAATAGGTTCCCACCAAGGAGGTGACCAAGCTCTGTACTGAGGCTCAATCCCATTTCATATTTTTACCCCTACCCCTTGTTTTCGAGTGTTGCCCCTTGGAACTGAGTTACAGGGTAGTGGTTGAAATCTTCCCTCTGAAACGGGACCCTCAAATAAAAAGAGCATCACTTCATTAACAGCTACCAGCGCTGCTCTGTAGGAGACCCTGCCAGTCTGCAGTGACAGCAGAGGAGGGTAAAGTTCAGCTCCTCACTGCTGGGCTTTAGTTACATTTAGGGCATCATATGACTTCAAAGAGGGGGGCAATTATTTATCATCGCCCACCCCTAATTCTTCAGTGATATGAAGCTGAAGTCAGATATTCACCAGCTTCTTGTTCAAACTTTCATGTTCCACCTTAAATGGTGCACCATTTAAAGTGGAATGGGAAATTTAGCTAGCTAGCTACCAACACATCAGCACTACTAGCAATTTTTATGCTTGTTATGAAGAAAAGGACCAAAATACACTGAAAAGACATTAAACTAATAATAATACACTGATTATTGTGATTTTTTAAATGTAAGAAAATTCTCACATTTGTGGGTTTCTTTGATCTTTTGCTCAGTCATCTTGCCGTTTTTTTTGGGGTTTTTTTTTCTCATAACACTCTCATAACCTCCTCTACGGTGTGAGACCTTCCCTGCGGCTAAGGACTTTTTCTGGGCTAGCTAAGTGACTCTATACCGTGGTCAGTGAAATCCCGCCCACTAGCTGTGGGGACTGTGGAGGTGTGTGTGTTCTGTTTTATGTATTGTTGATTATGTCTTTTGTTACTTTCTGATTGGAAAGTGTCCTTGAGCATGGGAAAGGTGCTATATAAATAAAAAAGATAATAATGATGATGATGATGATGCACCCTTGACGGACACCCACCGAGGGTTTAGGAGCTGCGTCTCAATGACCTGGACCAGACCCTGCTTATGTTGAGGCTTCTCCTGACTTTCCAGAGCCTGTCATGTCATAGAAAACGGTTCTTGCAGTTTGTACGATGCTAAATGGTGAGTTACAAGCTTCCTCGTTACTTGTTAACTTCATCAGCCTCATTGCTCCCAGTGCTGAAACTAGAGAAGCATTTGGGGTAAGTACTTTCACTTTGAGAAAGAGAGAGAGTGATGTAGAAGACAGACAGACAGTGATGGTGGATGTGGTGGTTTTGAGGTTAAAGCGTGTGTCTCTTCTCTCTTTCTTAAACGACTGCTATAATTAAACCATTTTCCAGCTGGCTGCTCACTGCCCTTGTCACTGCGCTCAGGGGAGCAGGAGCTGTAGAGACAGACCAATAAAACCTGTTAGATCTTGGCACCCCAACGAATAATAAAAAAAGAGGAAGGAGTAAAAAAAAAAAGAACGAGAGGAAAGAGCGATGGATAGGTTCGCCACACAAAAGACGATGAGCAAAAAGATGGAAGTGAAGGAGAAACGCTGTGAGGGGAAATATCACTCTGACCTTTTCCCTCTTTCATTAAC